AGTGCATGCACCCCAGAAGGCTTTCCCGCCACAAGGGAACAAAGGGAGGTGGGGACAACTAGAGGTACATTTCTGTAAATCGCCCAGTAGGAGGCCGGAGGGGAAGGGTCGGCCTGACCAACAGAGAGAGACTGTTTCTCTGGGGAAGAAACTTAGGTTCTGTGTAAGTGTCAGAGTGCATGCACCCCAGAAGGCTTTCCCGCCACAAGGGAACAAAGGGAGGTGGGGACAACTAGAGGTACATTTCTGTAAATCGCCCAGTAGGAGGCAGTAAAGCCCGGGCGACGTTCTGCAAGACTGCACACCCCGAAGCACTCGCCAGTGAGGAACCTGGGGAGGGGCCTTGAACTCTGGGGTGAGTCCTTGTCACCCTGATCTGGTGTGCCTCTCCCCAGACATCCCTCTTGCAAGGCCATCGTTAGAGAGAAGCCCACTTTTTGCTGCATGTCGTGTCCCTTCTTGGATGACTGTGTGTGTCTCACAGGCCAGGGGTCAGCTTGTGTCCCTTCTTGGATGGCTGTGTGTGTCTCACGAGCCCAGTGGTCAGCTCGTGTCCATTCTTGGATGGCTGTGTGTGTCTCACAGGCCAGGGGTCAGCTGGTCCTCCACCTCCAGCTCCTGAAGAGCTGCCCAGTCCCTTCCAGCTCATTCCCCTCCCGGTCACTGTGAAGAACCCCCCGAGGCAGTCAGCCCCGGGCTGGGCAGCTGAGGCACGGACCAGGGGCGTTTCTGTGGAATTCCAGAGTCACTCTGCCTCCAAGGGCCTCTGGGGAGCTGCCCAGTGCTCCCTGGAGAAAGGCCGTGTCCAGCGGCCGCTCGCCCCTCTGCCCTCCCGCAGGGCAGGTGGCGGTAAAGCAGAGCGGCTCTGTGCTTGCCGATCGCTCCGTGGGATCGTGTTCACTGGAAGAACCAGCAGGTGCACGATGGAGGCTGTTTCCTCCCCAGGACCCCCAGTCAGGACTCCGTCCCCGTGCCCTCAGCCTGTGGCCATGGCCCTTGCGACCAGCACCCCCACGCCCAGGACCAGCAGTGTCTCCCTGGGACCCCATCTTGAACCAACCTCAGCAAAACAGGACGAAGGAGAAGAGGAGAGAAGGGCTTCCAGGTGCACGGGGTGGGGAGCTCGGCTCGGCCACCCGTCTGTGTCTCTGTCTCTCCCTCTTGTCCGCCCTCTGCCGGGGGCCTCCTTCCTCTCCACCCAGGACAACAGGCGCAAGGACAGGAGTGTCCCCCAAGACACCAAGACACGTCACAGTTGGCGCCACGAGGAGTGGGCGGGACCCCGGAACCCAGGAGTCCCCAAGGACCTTCCACACCTCAAGGTATGTTCATGGGATCCACATCAGGGTGACACTGCACAGGAACGTGAAATGAGACAGACTGGGTCTGGGGACCTCGTGTGAATGGGCACAGCCTCACGCCGAGAACAGAGGCTGGGGCTGTGACCACCCTGACCAGTGGGGAGGCAGATGGGAGTGAGGGGCCCACTC